TGTGTGTGTGTGTGTGTGTGTGTGTGTGTGTGTGTGTGTGTGTGTGTTTCCAGACAGGGTCTCAGTATGTAGCTCTGGCTGTCCTGGAACTCACTCTGTAGACCAAGCCAGCTGAAAACTCACAAAGACCTGCCCGCCTCCACCTCCCGAGTGCCAGGATTAAAGGCATGCACCACTATGCTTGGAATGACTCATTCCATACTATTTTAGTGAGCATCTGCAGTGTGGCCTCCAGACCCCACAGCTCCCTGTGTGCCTACTGAAGGCAGCGTTGCCACAGTGCCTTTGCTGAGGAAGCTGCACGTCAGCCTTTACAGCTCCTGTTGCTGACTGGACCCAGGCTTTGCCATTTAGCCAGGAACATGAAAAGTAAAACTCCGCACTGGGCATGATGGTCCACACCTGTAACTTCAGCACTCCCCGGATATGGTAGGAGGAGTCTGTGGCCCTGCTAGACTACATACACAGAGAGGCCCTGTCCCTTAGAAAGAAAAGAACATTCCAGGCAGGCCATTTGGTGTGAGCATGGCAGACACAGTTGGGGACTGCTTGTTTCATCAGAAGGTGGTGTGACATCAGGGTTTGGCATGCAGGCTTCAGAGCCTTCCTTCAAGTTTCAGGGCAAAGCCCTTCTCTGCAGCTTTAAGGCAAGCCCATCAAGGCCTGTTTTATCGTCTGCAGAAGGTGGGTAAAGGCAACACCCATCTTACCCATCAGCATGCAGACCTCAGTGGCGCCCCACACAAGACCAGTGCCCCCTCCTGCTGCATGTCCATCCCAGGCTAACTGGACCAGAGCAGCTGACAGGGAGGGTTCCAGCAGCACAGAAAGGAATGGTTACGGTTGGTCCTATCTGTGTCCTCCAAGAAGCTGCACAACCACCTTTGCGCAGTATGGCAGATAAGCCCATGGTCAGTCACAATGTCACAATGTCAGCAGTAATGGCCATTGCACTTGCTCTCTGTTAAATCTGAGGACCAGTGTGGTGTCAGGACAGTTTAGCCCATCAGGATTCTGAATGGTAGTCACTATTTTATTTTTAAAGATTTATTTACTTATTATTTATACAGCATCCTGCCTGCACGTGTGCCTGTGCACCAGCAGAGGGCACCCGATCTCACTGTAGGCGGTTGTGAGCTACCATGTGGTTGCTGGGAACTGAACTCAGGACCTTTGGAAGGACAGCCAGTGCTCTTAACCACTGAGCCATCTCTCCAGCCTCCATAGCCACTATTTTAAGATTGATTATTTTTCCCTGTGTGTGCGCGCGTGCACGTGCATGGGTGCTACGTGAACGCAGGAGCCTTAGAGGCCAAGGTGTTGGATCCTCCAGAGCTGGAGTTACAGGAGATCTGGAAGCTGCCAGGTGTTGGTGCTGAGAACAGAACTTAGGTCCTCTGCTCTTAAACACTAAGCTGTCTATCTGGCCCGGGGCAGCTGGTATTTTTAACCCTGGCACTAATTTCCTGTTAGTGCGTTTGACTGTTTGACAGCCCTACCAGAGAGGCTGATTAATGCCACTTCATTGATAAAGAGAGGCTCAGAAAGGATGAGCAGTTTTCAAGCCCGTGTTGAGTGACAAGGCAGCTGGTCTCTCATAAGCCCCTCCCTTGCAATTCTTTTGCCCATTCTTCTCTAAGAACAGCCAGTGCTGGGAAATGTCTTGGAATCCATCTGTATTAGTCATGGTTTTCTAGAGAAACAGAACTGATGGAATGAATCGCTATATAAAAACAGGATTTACCATAGGCTTACAGGCTGTGGGTCAGGCAATTCCAACAGTGGCTGACAGGAAGTCCAAGAACCCAATAGTTGGTTCATTCAATCCAGAAAGCCTGGATATCTCAGGTGGTCACCAGCATACCTTAGAATCTCAAAGAAGCAAGCTCTAATACCAGCAGAGGAATGAAATTTCCATTGAGAGTGAGGGCAAGCAGGCAAAGAGCAGTATGCAGGCTGCCACAGAAGGTGTGACCTAGATTTAAGGTGGGTCTTTGTCTTAGTCAGTGTTCTGTTGCTTTGAAGAGCATGAAAGAAAGCATTTATTTGGGGGCTTGCTCACAGTTTCAGAGGATCACATCCTCTTATCAGCATGGTGGGAACATGGCGGCATGGTGGTGCTGGAGCAGTATCTGAGAGCTTTTCATCATGAGCCACAGGAGCAGGGACAGAGGCCCTGGGTCTGGTGTGGACCTTTGAAACCTTAAAGCCCAGCCCAGCAACACATTTTCTTTAACAAGGCCACACCTCCCGATCCTAATTCCCAAATAGTGCCATTCCCTTGTGACTTAAGTATCTGCAGCCCAGAGAGGGCAGGACTTACTATACAGATCACACAGCCTCCCACCTCCAGCCTTCCGGCAGTGAACTGGCAAGAATTCGTTTGTCATGGGGGCTGTGCTGAAACTGTCAGGACTGCTGAGGCAGCAATGTGCTTCCTCCTGTAGAAGTCTCCGCTGTGGTGGCCTGCAGATGTCCACGTGTTTTAGGGAGCACAGGATGCACACAGTACACTTTCCGGTACTGGAGACAAACCAGTGGAGACAACTCTTTGCTTTGACAAGCTGGTTGTACACACACTTGTAGGGAATGATCCAAAGCCCAGCCACTGCCCAACGGCGCTCCGATAGCCAGGGGTCCCCCACCTGCAGCCAGGGCAAGGATGGGAGGGCTTGGCCTTGCCGTCACCCTCTGCACAGGCTATAGAGATGGCAGAAAGGAAGAAGAAAGAGAAACAAAAAGAGCAAGAAGACAACCTAGCTGAGATCAACAACCTGCTCCATTCGGAACTGCTGTTGGAGGACCAACAGCAGACTCGCTCCGGATCGCATGTGGTCCCTTCCCACTGGAAGGGCATGAGCCGGGAGCAGCTGGAGGAGATCCGCTACGTACAGAAGCAACAGATCCAGGAGAAGCTGGTGAGTCCCTCCTGTGCCACAGAGCTAGCTACCTCTGTGCCCCAGGGCTGCCCACACACCCAGCTCCCGTGTCAGTGCTCACTGAGAGCTGCCTCTGCTGCAGGCAGTTTTCATTGTGGTGAGGCACTAGAAGCAGACAATCTGGCCACATACATATCGCGTGCATCATGTGTGAGAGAGGATTGGAGGGTGACTACAGGCCTTTTGGAGGATGGACCCGATATCTACAGAGATAGGAAGCTGGTGTGTGGGGCAGGCTGGTAGGGTGGGGAGGCTCACCAGTATATCCTTGGGTATATTAACTACCTAATGTCCATTAGACACCTGCGGGGTTTGGTTGGCCTGATGTGGCAAAAGAAAAGGAACCCTGAGAGCACCAACTACAACATTTTAAGTAAGGTAGAGCCTGTCTGTATGTATTGATTCCCTAGAACAGTCTCTGGCCTGACTGCAAGCACTGTAGCCACTGTGTTCTGCCATCCTGGGCACCTGGTCCTACCCTTGTGTATAATGGCTGTCACAATGTCAGCCATCCGCATACAGCCATTACAGCCAAACTGCAGGGGGACAGTGAGGATAACATTTTATAGGACTTTCACAAGATATTTCCAGTCAAGTTTCAATGGACAACATTTAGAAGATTAATCCGATTATAAAGGACATTGGGGAATATATCACTAATCCTTGTCTATTAAGGATGAGAGAATAATGGATACTGGGGAAGTCATATCACTTTCTGTCTCCAATTTTTCTAGGTAAAGGGTGGGGAGAAAAGCTGAGGAGGGAGCAGGGTGTGTGACCAGGACTCAGAACAAAGTCTAGGGAGTAACAAGGTAGCAACACTGGGTGCCATCATGGGTGAGTGCAGACAGGAGAGGAGCCCTGTGGTGTGGGGCTCAGGCATGGTCATCATTGATAAAGCAGGAACCTGCTGGTGTCCCAGAGGGCTGCCCTGGAGGCTTTGCCTGTCTGTCATACATCTGTTCGGTAAGGCTGTGGAACAAAGGTTGACCACCTGCCCTGAACCCAGCATTTGGTTCCAGTTTTTAATCTAGAAGATCTGAAAGGCAGGAACACACAAACAGAGAAAGACCACATTAAAATTTTTGCTCAGGCCCTTGTTCCGTGCCTCTCCTCTTGCTGCTTTGTCTTCCCCCTGCTCTCTGTGCCGCGGGTGGTCTGGGAAAAGGAGCTCATGTTGAAGCAAGTGAGTTGCTGGCCAGGGTGCCTTTGAACAGTCCGTTCACAGGCATCTGGGAGTCCCAGAAGCAAGGCCACTCTTCGAAGGTGCCAGGTGGCTACGCCAGTGTAGGCTGACTTCTGGTCCAGGCAGGAGGCCATGCTGGACACCAGTTTGCCCCTCTGGTGTGGATGCTCATCTTTCCTTCAGCCCAGCCCATCCAGTTGCTTCTCCTGGGAGGTCATCTGCAGACACCGAGCTGAGCCCTCTTGGGAGCTGCTTCCCCACACTAATCCAATGTCCCCTGGAGGGCTCCATGCAAAGAAGAATCTGGAATGCATGCCCAGGGCTGAAAGGTAGCTCATCCAGAACTAGGCTATCCTCCACACCCGCATGGTGACACTGTTGTCACTGGGTGAGGTCCAGTGTCAGAGTGTTCGTGTTGGAGAGCTTGCTGGGGCAGTATCTGGCTTGGAAAGCCAGCTGAGAACCCTCCCGAGGATGGGGATCAGCAGCCTGGCCGGGAGCACTGTGGGAGCCAAGCCCCCACTGTTCCTTCAGGAATAAGACAGCATCACTGCCATTTGAGGGCAGAAAGCAGCCAGGCCACATAGGTAGGGCACTGAGGTCACTTTCCTTCCCCTTCCCCAAGCTTCAGCTTTCCCATCCAGGCTTCCCAGATGAACCCCCAAGGCTCCTGGACCTCAGGAGAAGGTGCTAAATCCCCTTTCCTGCCTCTAGAGACTTCAGGAGGAAGAGCGTCAGCGCATCATGGACTGGGACCGACGCAGGATCCAGAAGGCTCGCATCAGCCTGCTGCAAGAGAGGCAGCAGCAGCACTTTGAGCGGGAGATGCGCAGGGCGCTGGACTGCAGCAACTTCCGCCTGGCCAGGGAGCAGTACTTACAGTGAGTGCCAGGGACCTCGGGTAGGTGCGGGGGCAGGCAGCCCCACAGGTCACAGCGTGCTCCTCAGGTGCCTAGGGAACCCCGAGTCACGTGGGAAATCCTGAAGGAGGCTTCGTGGCTGAGCCTTGGAGCTAAGTAATAGCCCACTTTGTGGCCTCTTCAGCCAGAAGGTAGGAGGGCTCCCAGGCTCTTTCACATGCTAGAGTTACCTGGGTGCTTACAGGAACCCCAAGAGTTCCTGGAGGCTCTGGGATGTAGTCATGCCAGATAAATTAGCAGCTGAGCATTAGGCAGGCAGTTGCTCACTCAGCTACTCTATCCTGAACTTGAGTCCTGAAGGGAACCCTGGGGTCTGCTCCGGTCAGAGCTTGGTCACCAGGAGGTCTGACGGCTGTCCTGGCTTCCACTGGGACTTAAATGGAGCACTCAGGTATGACCTGACAAGATACAGTCATATTCATGTGGGATGTCCCCATTAGTCCCTGATACCAGTCCCTCCTCCAACTTCAGTGTCATCACTAAGGAGCAGGGGAGATGACTCTTTAAAAAAAAATACGTGTGTGTGTGCTTTTTAAAAATAATGTATGTGGGTGTTTTGCCTGCATAAATCCTGTGTACTACTTGCATGCAGTGCCCACGAAGGCCAAAAGAAGGCATCAGATTCCCCCTAGAACTGGAGTTACAGTTTGTGTCCTTCCATACGGGTGCTGACACTGAACCTGGGTTCTCTGCAAGAGCAATGATTGCTCTTGGCCACTGTGGTCTCTCTAGGCCGAGAAACTCTTGTTTTGAGCTCTTCAGTGTTGGAACAGATTCTGCAGTGTCAGGATAAAATGCTGTGCCCCATGCTTGCTCATTTCTTTTCTTTTGTTATTAGGAAAAAAGAAATGGATGCAGCCTCCTCAAGCCAACCCACAGAAGAGTATTACTCACAGTTTAATACAGGAGGCCGCTAATAGAAAAGACTCTTCCTTTCTTGTTTATAGCAGTGTGGTCCCCTAGGAGTCACATTTATTTCCAAATGAACCTGGTCTGAACATCCCCTTATTTAGGGTGATGTCTCACCACCCTGGTTGGAGGCTGCACACTCTGCCAAGCTCTGCTCTGTGGAGGTCCCTAGCGCAGCTCTGGGTGCTGAGGACATAGGCACAGTGAACCATTCTAGAGAGGGCCTGTGTGCTCAAGCTCCAGGCCTGCTGCTGCAGTCATTTGCTAGCGCAGTGAGCATCACAGGTGTTCCATGTGCTCCGTGAAACACTCCTTCTTTGCATTCTCACCAGAGGGTGGCCAATACCTTTGCCACTCCCCTTGACTAGTGGGATAACCTGATTTAAAGGAACCTATCTGGCTTATGGTGATTCCCTACCTTCCCCCCCCCCGAAAATGCAGCATTTAGGATTGAACCCAGCAAGTCTGCCTTTCAGCCTTTTCATCTCCCAGCTCCTGTAGCAAAGATCCCAGGCAAAAGTGGCTTCTACAAAGCATTCTTGCTGTGATGAAAACAAGTTGACCTAGAAGCCCTGCTAGCTGGAGGAGGACCCAGTGCCCTCTGCTACTTGCTCATCTTCCCTTGCTACTATGTAGCTACCCTCCTGGGGTCTAGGCCTCTGCTCCAACTTGTAACCCTGCACCACATCCTGTCACCCGACTCCAGGCAGTAAGCATTACCGCCCTTTAGGGATGTGGTCCAGAAGGTATCCATTTCACCTCTGCTCACATCTCCACTCTGCCTTGAATTTCCAGGAAGAGTGCTCCTTGGTCTGGGCATCCCAGGGTGATGAGACCGGAAGGGAATGAACAGACCGAGGAGACCTACACATTTACCCATCACAAATTCATTCTTTGGAAACATGCCACCACTGTAAGCCAGCCCCAGCTGTTTTCCTTCTCAAGAGCTGCCAGCAGAGGATGCATGTAGTGGTACCAAAAAGGGATTTCAAACCAGGCTTTCCTTTTTGCGACACACAGATATAATGAGTCACGTAACGGTGGTCTGTTGTTCGAAAATCCAGAATCAGCAAAACTGTTCTTTCCCCTGTGGAGAAAGGGGGGTAACTGCAGAGAAACATGGGGCTACTTGCTAGGAGTTAGCAAGTGTACAGATAAAAACAGTCACCCCACCATACTGCTATCAGGACTGCAACAGAGGAAACCAACCCAGTGTTCAGCAAGCTCCCTTGCAGTCAGCCATTGCCACATCCACCAGCAGGTGGTGCTTTTGGCTCACCTGCTCCAACGGCCACAGAGCCCTGGCCATCTTGTTTCCACAAGCACAAAAGTCTCTGCAGATAAAGGAGGCTGACAGGGAAGGTCATTATGACAACTGAGCAACAGCCACCTTGGGTGTCAGGGCAAGGTCTCCACACTGTCTGTGAGCACCAGTCCTAATCCACTCACAGAGCTTGGGAGAGGGGCTGGGGAGCGGTGGAGACCATGATGAAGTTGTAGGAGGCAGGCAGGGAGGTAAGTGGAAAGCACACGTACAGAATGGGACTTCACCTCTGATTGCTTCCCACACCCCAAATGTCCAGGTCTCACCCCTAACCCTTACCTTCAGGCATATGCTGCCCATGGTTTAGCCCATGCCCACTGCCACATCTGGCAATCTTAATCTTTCCAAGTCTGTGTCTGTAGAGCTGCCCTCTTTGCTTTCTTTTGTGAATGAGGTTAAATAAAGATGAATAAATAAATAAAAAGGAAAGGACATGACTGCTTTTAGGTATGGTGGTGGAGAAAGTTTATTGTAGATAAAAGGGAGAGCATAGCCAGACGCAGACACATCTGGGAGAGTCAAGAGTGGTCATGATCCTGAGCTGTGTGTGTGTGTGTGTGTGTGTGTGTGTGTGTGTGTGTGTGTGTGGTGGGGGAGTACAGATTGAAACCAAGTGCAGCAGCTAGGATGTCAAAGGTACAAAATGCCTAGATTATATAGGGAAGAGCATCTGGGGAAGGGCAGCCCAGCCCCTGGAATGGAGAGTTCAGGGTAGAGGATGGGGTATGCCAGCCATACTCTGTAACAGGTAAGGACTGAGGGATGCTGGAAGAACCTGGAGGCCAGGTCTGCTTTCATATGTTAAATAGGCACCTCAGCTGTTTGTCCCAGGTTTGAAACTTACTATGAGTGGGGTTGGTATCACAGATGGCCCTGAGATGGGACATGTCAGTTGAATGCCCAGAGCCAAAGGATTCTTGTTACGGTCATTCTAGAAAAACACCCCAAACGTCCTTCTTTCAATGGCGCCAGAGAAACTACAACTCTAGCCACAGTTTGGGGACCAGAACACTCCACAGAGTGTACTGAGAAAAGAAAAATGCTAGGGCCATCTCCTCCACACCAGACTAGTTTCTGAATTAGTCACCCCAGAGGTTCCCAAGTGGGACTTGGGTCCACAGTGTAGCTTTGTTGACAAGATGTCCACAGAACCTAGGACAGGATTCACAAACATCTGGATCTGCTGGGGACAGTCATCACGAAGTCTTTTATCTAAGGTCACTCAGTATCCTTGCCGAGGTCCAGAGTGACCCACTTACTGACCCCATTGTTCATTCTCAACTCATGTTCACGACCAGTGAGTCTTAGCAGAGAGAGCCAACTGCTTAGATGGGCAGTCCACAGGCCCCATCTCTGTTGGAATTGGTGCAGGCATCTCTATGGCCAGCCCCCAAGGGACCTGACAAATGGGTCATCAGGCATCTGTGTGGCCACCTCCAGAAATTCAGCAGCCACGGGACCACCTGTTCATTCTGTGCATGCAGTTGGTCACTTTATAAGAAGACTCGCCCCTTCTCTCTCTCTTTCCTACCTCACCTGGGGACTGTGTGTGTAACTTCCCCTCCCCTAATAAAACCTCCCACGTGGAACCTGTTGCATGGAGTGACTGTTTAGGCCACCGTATAACTCAGCTGCACAAATCCTAACACTCTCCACGCCAATCCCTTCCAGCTCCCCAACAGTAGGTAGGAGAGACAGAAGTTTAGTGGGGAGAGGGGCCGTTGAGATCTTTTTACTACTTCCTGCTGATTAGGGTCATTGAGGCAAGCCCAGTTTCATCTAGTCAGGGTATCTCCAACATTTTCTTCTTGTCTCTTTTCTCTCAAGCACTTGACAAACCAGCAACAGCAGAAGCAGGAACCAGCAGGAGGAACAGCTGTGCCTCCTCTCTTGGGGCTCTGGTCTTTCTATACCCTCTCTAGAGTCCCCAGAATTAATCTATCTTCAGCTGGAAGAATCACACCCCTGCCAGAGTATGCACGAGGCAAATAGTCTGCCGCTGTTGGCAATCTGAAACAGCGCCATAGCCCACACCCAGGATTAAAACAAAAAAACATGTTTATGTAACACAACTGGGTTTTTAAAGATACCCAAAATCTCAGGACTGGAAGCTAAGTAGAAAGGGCCATTACAAAGTGTGGCTCTAATATAGCCCTCCAATCCAGTCTCTTGAATTCTAGCTTGAACAGTCAGCTTGGATATCTCATGACAAAATTAGTGCATCCTGGGCTAGAGAGATGGTTCAGCGGTTAAGAGCACCGGTTGCTCTTCCAGAGGATCCAGATTCAATTCCCAGCACCCACATGGCAACTCATAACCGCCTGTAACTCCAGTCCCAGAGGATCAGATGCCCTCTTCTGGCTTATCCAGGTAGCAGGCACATGTGTGGTGCATAAACATACATGCACCACATGAAAAGAGCTTTACTCTCTTTAAACAGTGTGTCCAAGCTGATTTCCCCCCACCCCCACCCCCACCAGCAAAGAATCCACTCCACAATCCTTCCTGTCTCTGTCTGTGTCAACCCATTCTTGTAACTGTTCTGGGCAGAAAGTCTGGATTTATCACTGGGCTTTCTCTCTCTCACACATGTGTGCGCATGCACGCACACGTGCACACACACAAAGAAATACCAACACTCCATCAGCAAATCCTGTTTGCTAGTCTTCAAAGTATATCTATGTGTGTGTGTGTGTGTGTGTGTGTGTGTGTAACAAACTTCGGTGTGTCTCACCTCTATGGACGAGACACCTTGGTCTAAGCCACCCAGTCTCTTCTCTGATGCACCTGTTCCTCCCCTGCCCCCCCCACATTCTTTCTCAAGTCACCACAGCCAGAGCTGGTTTGTTGCTCATTCACAGTCTGAGCCTAAACAGCTGGGGTTCTGGTACCTTTGCAGCTCTCCCTGCTCACATGCCCTGAGACCTGGGAGGAGGACGGACCCTCCAGGGACCAGAGCCAGAATTAAAATGCAAGGCAAGCTGCCTCAACTGAGAGAGGAGCCAAAAGTCCACGTGACCTTGCCACCTCCTTTTCTGCTTCCCTTCTCTGCCCTCTGCCCCAATCACCTTGTTTCCTTATTGTGCCCCAATACTGCCCCACACTCCTGCCTTAGGCACCCTCCATCCCCTCTGCTTGGCGTGCTCTTTCTTCCAGACATGAGCATGACTAACTGTCTCTTTCTTAGGAAGTGGGGTTAGCAGTTACCTTCCCAGGGGAGCCCGTTTCCTGGCCCCTATGTAGAAAGGCTCAACTCTTCCGCCATGGCACCCTTCCTACCTCCGTGGCCCTTTTGCGTGATTTGTTGAACTGTTATTCTTTGTCCTCTTGGCCACTGAGATGCATGTTCTGTGAGGCCGGGGTGGGGTGGGGCGGGGTGGGGGGTGGGTAGAGGGGGCTACTTGAACAGTGCAGGAGCTGGCGTGTTGACCTTTCATAGTCTGAGCCTAAACCACTGGGGTTCTGGCACTGGTGCAGCCACCCCTCTCATAACGAGCAGAGAGAGCTGGGAGGTGGATAGACCGCCAGGGGCCAATTGGTATGGTGATTTTGTAGCCACCAGAGAAGAATTGACCCTGGGGGGAAACAGGCCAGGGACAGTGTTGCCTAGTTATCTGACCCAGTTAATTGATAATGGACAATACTGTGGGTGAGGGGCAGGCAGAAGCCCAATGGCCAGCCCCA